CACATGTATTATACTAAAATTCTGAATAACAGCTAATGTTGTTAAAAACACAATAGCGCTGTCAAATCTTTGTCTAAGGAAGTAAAGTAATATTATTATCTCCATTATTCAACAGGCTTCTTTATAAAAAGCAACATCTCTGAGATAATTTAAGTCATTATAATATACCAATTCACCGCTCAATACTACTACAATACACGAGTCTTTCAAAGACCCTCTCTCTTCCCGGTGTCGAGTTTCACACGAGTTCGTGTGTACCTCTCTGTATATCACTTAATAAGATACCTCGGGGCCTCTCTCTCTCTCTCTGCGGCTCGCGTGTGTAAGGAGTAAGTAGAGGGGTGAGTACAATGGTTCCCCCCCACACACACACACTTGTAACGGAACAGGATCTCAGGTTTACTCCGTCTTTACTTGGTGACGTCACAGCTGTAACTTAAGTTGGGATTTACGATATAACTGTTGACCTCTGCAGAGGTTGTCGTGATGATATAACGCCAGCTCTCCCTAAATTACAAATGTATTGTTGTAATGTATCTGTTGTGTCATCTCTCTCTCTACATGTGACGCTCCACTTGTAACTTCTGAAATGTAGTCAGACTTTTCTTTAGCTTCACTCCTCAGAGAGTGTCACACTTGTTTCAACGAGAGAGAGAAAAAAGTTAAAATAATCCACGCTCCATGATGACAATTGACAATCCTTTGCTACACGGTTAAATTGTCCCACGATCAGAGGCTAGATATTGGAGTTTATAGAAGCGCGGCAGGGACGTCAGAAAATAGCCCGGATATAAGTGAACTAATAGTTTTGAACCCATAATTTGGGATTCCAGTAACCAGTGTTAGGAACACGTAGACGCAGGAAGAATCCTTGCTGGCGCTCCACTTAGAGTTTGTATGCTTTGTATACTGCTTCAGACTAACTTCCAGGCTGAAGTATGTGGGTGCCGCTAGGAGTTGTAATTAAAATGAACTTGTGCTCTGACAGGGTTGTTGCCGAGCGTGTGTGTTTACAGCGATTTAAATTTGTGTAAGATATCTATAAATATCAACTATTAGCGCTTGCGAAACCACATTTGTCGACCATGTGAGGAGACACATTCTTGATGTAGTGGGAGTTAGTAAGTTACTCATGTTTTAAGTAGTTGTAGTAGTAGTAGTAGTAGTAGTAGTATTAGTATGTTAAGATATGACGTCAGGAATGTTAAGATATGACGTCAGGAATGTTAAGATATGACGTTAGGAATGTTAAGATATGACGTCAGGAATGACTAATGAGTAATGGATTCCCAAACGCACGTTATCCTCAACGTTTATTGAAATGTGAGCATCTTGTTCACAAAGAAGGCAGACCGCGACCTCTAATGCACAGATCTTTCCAAGAAAGCCTAGCTGCGACGGTGATTTGTCCTTTTAAAGCACAGCCATGAGTAGGTCTGTTTCCCTCATATCGTCTGAAATATAATTCACCATTTAATTTCAGCTGCACGTTAGAACGAGAAACCAAACATTTTTAAATGCTTCCTCGCGCCCCTCTGACGCAGTTTATTCGTTCTAAAGCTGCACGTGCAAAGCTTTACCGCTGTAGTATAATCGTAATTAAACCATGGGAGTTGTCCCACCCATTATTTTTGATGGAGTATCTTGCCTACCGTTTACTGTTTTACTACCATATAAGGTAATACATACAGGGCTTATAGACTGTGGTGTCAACATTTTTACTTAGCGTCGCTGTATTGCTGGTATTGGTTTTAAAGGTGAGAACTGTGTGTTTATTAATTAGTGTACCGCAACATCTGGCCAATATTAACGCTCCATCTGGTTAATTGTTGATGTGGTTTTATGATGTAGTGACTTTAGGCGATCTTGGATCTGCTCAATAAATTAAATTCAAAACTCCTAATGGTAATTGTAGATAAGAACTAAGGTATTAAGTGGTAAAATGTTTAATGCGACTTAATTTCTTTATTAACTTAAATTCTCCTTTTGTCTGTCGAAGCCCCTAAACTTAAAGTGCTACCGTCACAATGAATTGTCGTCACTCGTCAATTTAAGACCTCAACTAAGAACAGATTGTTTGTTGAAAATATCTGTAGCTGTGCGAAACAACACTATTTTGTTTGAATATCATTGATTTCGCCGAACATTATCACTAGAACCACTGATAACGGTTTGTAACGGTACTGTTCGGCAAAAGTCGATAGAAAACCTCTCAGACTCAATAAGGCATAACAGCGTCTCGCCACTTCACTTCTTCGTATTCTAATATAGCATATGATGATATGAATATATTTCTATTGAATATAGCATAAAATGTTGATATTTTGGACATAGTTGGCGGTAAACGTGAGATGTTCGAGTAGTCAATCCCTTTTGATAGAAAATCCTCAAAGACGGTCATAATTGTAGGATATGGTATTTTATTTCGTGAATTTGATCCAAGCAGCCTGAATTCGTTTTGAGACAAAATTTGGGGTTTCATCCTAGATGGCAGTTCCTTAAAGTACAGTCTGTGGCACTGTGCCTGCGGGTATGATTAGTGAACTTTTCCTTTTTATACGTGCCACATCCCATTTCTGTTACGTGCTCGCTTGATCTTATTTAATTTAAATCCTTATAATTTACGTGAGGAAGTAGGTACATTGTTGATATAAATGGTTCCTGCAAGCTGTCAAGAATAGTATTTAAGAAATCATATTGGCTTCTTGAAACTGATATTACCTATCCAGCGCTAAGAGCAGGGGCTAAGTGCAGTTTTATCGCAGCTTTTTCAGACAGGTAGCTGTCAAACTGTGCCAAACGACAACCGATAATCAAAGTTTTCACACCAAATTAGGTAACAAGTCGGCTTCAAAGCGCATATCTGTGTCAATTATCATTCTAATTATAATCAGACCGACCACTTACGATTGGATGATATTTTACCATGACGCATTACACAGCTTCGGCAAGGTAGACACATTGATCTTCAGAATAGAGGGAGTATAAAACCCACAGTTGTAACGTACTGTGTTTTAAAACAGAGGCAAGGTTTGGTATTTTTCTGGGTTCCCATACTCGTTATCACCGTGCCAAGTGTCTAGACTTTTGTAATTGCTTAATGGCGATAATTACCTGAGACTTTGCCCTATTATAGATATACTTTACATAATATGAAAACAAAGTAAACGTATGGAAAAAGTTGGTGTCCAGGCGGACATCCAGATCTAAAAACTGATTTGTCAGGTTTTTACGATTCAGCTAGTGAGGTATTTATTTAGTTATTTGTCTTTCTCTCTAAATGTGTCTGGGTAGTTGATTTGTGTCAGTATCTTGCTTGTCTACGAGCTAAAAATAGATAAATATGTGTACGGTGAAAGGTAGGAACTCTCCCAAAATCTATATTTACCAAACATTGAGGAATTCCGTTTGTTCTCAAACTCAAGCATATATTTATTGCAATACAGTACTTTAACAGTCTATTAAGGCAGTCAAAAGTGTAGTATGCACATTCCTCCCCAGTCTGTTGACGGCTGGATATTGTTATATTATATATTGGATATTGATTTTCAGTCTCTGTTCACCCCTCTATAACGTAGTCATTATCCTCATAACGTGGCCGCTCTCTTACGAGCTATCCATTATCGCACTGTCTACGTGATAGTGCTTCATTTTAACAACCTGAGAGATCCTCAGTTTTATTGTTGAGTTATAAAAGATTGCCGAGGAAAGTTTTTAGAGTGACTGTCAAGATTGAATGTAATGAAGATTATCGTACATGTAAACGGAATACTAAACGTTTATTTTGACTGTAATTTTATTCTGGTTTTTATGGAAATAGCCATGAACCATCGGGTCGAGATTTTTACACTTCCAGAATTTGACCAGCTGCCATGAAACATAATTTAACGTTCAAGTTCATTTATTATGTGGCTTCTATTGTGTTAAAGTGTATTTCAACCCGTACTCCATAGTGCCATACTGAGTATGTGACTGGTTATCATGTTTATAACACATTTCACTATGGTTGTCAGAACTGGGCATGATTTTAGTTACAATATTATTTGTGAACTACTCTGATATGTAGAGTGTCCAAGATACACGCTATACATGCCCGCTTAAGGAACGGTTCGAAGCATTTGGTGTGTTACGCTCCGTTGGTATTGATTTGATTGATATGGAACTTTTGCCTAAAGGCACCTAAATGCTTTACGACATATATCAGGCTAGATCGCAATTATGTAGGGGCTGAAATAAGTCATCTATTTGAGGACTTACCCTCATTTCAGGGGATTCCATGTTTGTTGAAACAGTCTCAATACCACGTGACTACCTAATAAGGAGTGTTATTTGATTTGATTATTTCTAGGCAGCGGTTGGATCGTCAATTCATTTCACATGTTATAACATAGTTACTCCCGGCTCTCCGCCCAAAATACTGCAGAAATAATGTAACGGACGAATCAGGCTGTGCCGCCCTGGAGCCACATATCAGAGTTCCTTTTTAACGGGGTGATGAGCATGGAGCAATTAGCAACTTTGCTGAGCTCGTGTCATTCTGTTTAACTGTTCCCGTAAAAGCGAATATACGTACTGTATACCGGATACCCGCTTCTTGCTGATCACCAGGTTTTTAAACTTTGCGCCTGTGACCTGTCATGTTACCCAGGGCTATAGCAGGAATATCTCTCGCTTTGCGTCCATTTATCTGCCTGAAGTTATCCAAATGCTGAGTTAAACTAGTGTCTGTCAAATATGGTGAAATTCAGAGCAACCTGAAGTAAACACTCACTTGAGAAATGTCACTTTTGGTACGCGCAACAAATCTTACTGTAATAAAAGTTGCTGCGCGTTAAAGTTGTCATCACAATTTTATTGCGCGCATTTTAGTTTTAACCACATGATACTACAATATCACGATTGCGTAAACATGACACTTCTCTGATCTATGAACGTCGTTCATTGAACGACCACGATAACTATCGCGTCTGTCGTCAAATATATATCAAAATCATTCCCAGGACGAGCTCATCGTCAGTCTCGACAAGAAGTGAAAAGTTGGGAAAAAAGGTTCGCAGCACAAAAGGAATGATACGCAGTAAATCTTCAGTCTTTAGAGACGAGGATTCTCTAAGCCAGGTACCCGAGCTATTTGCTACTATTAAATTTCATTTTGCAGTGGTTATACTACGCAAAAGAGGAAATGTAACATTTGTATAGTTGATTTCCGTTTAAATTGGTCCAGTTAGGGATCATTCACATAATGTTAAAGCCGCTTATGGTGGGGAGGATTTATCGAGCAAATACGGTTGCTGACAAGGGATGGATGTCAAGGCCTTTCTTACGTAAGCATTACAGCTATGATTCCTTGGCTCAGAATGTTGACTCAACATTATGACATCTCTATCTCAACTGAGAACTGTCCACCATCACTTGAATTTGTTCGCGTCATTTCGCTTACGTATATCTAATTAACCATGAAATAAATATGAAATTAAATTGATCGAACTTGAGAGTTTATTCTGAAATTAAAGGGGGTTTAGTAAATGCAGAGGAATATTTCTCGACGCTGACAGTTCCTAAAAGATGGGATGGAAATATCTGGAATGGCCAAAAGTTACTTAAACGATCACCTGTTGCCTCTAAACAGGAGGAAACTTATAATCCACATTTTCAGGGGTCCCTATTCAGTTTTGATACTGTTGATAAACTTGTGGTGGTAGAAAACTTCTTAAATTTGGAGCGCAGTTATGTGGACAAGTTGAAATTATTGGTCGAGGTAAGCAGTTTTACTCCGAAATGTTTAATAATTTAAAAATATTTACACCGTCCTTTCCTACTCTAAAAATTCAATGTCCTTCTTAATTTTCAATTTTTATTATCATTCTTAAAATATTTAAGATTCCTAAAACATAAGTTTAATTATTTTGTGTAAGGTGTTACCAGCCCTCCTGAGAAGTCCAGCCAACCGCTAATCGCCTGTTAATTACCTCAGAAATACGAACAAGCACTACGAGAACACTCCAAAGACTCGCTCACACTTCGTCACAATGTTAACACCGTCTTCCACCACCCCTGCCACCTGCTCATGATTCACAAGAGTTTCCTTATTGCTGCCCAGCATCGCGTCAAAAAGCAGGCGTCTGGCAGTAACGTTCCTATTTTGTTTGGGGATCTCTTCTTGGAAATGGTATGCTTCTCTTCACCCGTAATAATATAAAGCAGTAATAGGATAACTGCTAAATTTAGCTATTATATCTATAGTAAACGTTGTATTGAAAGGTATTTGTTTCTCCTTGATTCAGGCTACTGAAACCTAGATTTACTATAGGCTACTTGATAAGCTAGTGATAAACTAGTTTACCGCACAGAAACCTTTCGTTACCTCATTAGGATTACTCAATTTAGCCATCACACTACTGCTACGAACTGATAAAGCTCCCTCAGTATAGCGACTTAACTGCTTTGCAAGCCAGAAAAATGTGACAGTAAGGGTTTCAGATACTAACAGTTGGGTGGTAACCTAGGTTACAACTGTCATAAGTCCGAACTGTTACTAGTCTTAGAGGAACATCCACGTCACTACCATTTACAGTGAAGTGTTATTGTAACTGTTTCAGGTTAATCAATTTAAAGTCTATATTGAATACGCTAAAGATTTTCCATTCAATATGGAGACATTGTCTACAATAGAATCACAGTATATTCAGACTAAAGAACTTATCGATAAGGTATGTCTTAAATGTTAGTTATTTGCATTTATCATTAGAACCAGTCGAATTAAAGTAAGTGGCTTAATATTTTCCTGAATTATTCTCCATAAAACATTTTGTCCTAATAGGGTAGTCAAATATCCAATACTTTACCGTCGGGCCAACTGGAAGCTGTAATTATTCTATATTTACCACGGATCTATTTATTAGATCGGTAAAGAGGTGGAGATATCGTTGCCAGACTTGTTCCATGTTCCTCTGAGACAAGTTGAAACATATCAACACCTCATATCTGTAAGTAATCATCACTCCTAGGTGTTAATTAGGATTTAGTATCTTTCTGATGATCACACACAAAATAATAATATGTCAAATAACCAAACTGTAATAAACACAATAATGATGTTTTTTTCGAAACTTAATTCTTATCAAGATTTAACTAACGAGTGTTAAAAAAACCTATCACAAGAGCAAAATTCCGAGATTTTATCTTGTCAGAATGTCCGACTCCAGCTCCTTGGGGGAGAGCCTAGCAGTGAAGCCATTATCCTGGAGGAGGCAGAATATAAATTAGAAGAAATTACCTCAGTGATTGACAAAATAATGGTTTGTACCCATTCATAAGTCTTTAAATTGGACTAGCATACTAGTCGCCTTTTAGATTTGAATCGTGTATTGAAAACTATATAATTTAATTCTAGATCGATCTAATTCATATTAAATGCCCATGTTTCAAAAGTTCTGCAAATTGTTAAAGCTGTTAAAATAACTGTTACTCCGTAGGCTGAGGTACGTAAAAGGACAAGAAGTAACAGAAAGAGAGAGCTGATACATAAGGGCATGATGGCAGGTCAGAACGAGAAGGGAGCTCTCAAGATGAGATATTTGTTTCTGTATAACGATGTGCTGATTTGTGCCAGGATGCCCAAAACGTCCGATCACGCCAGTTTATATTTACCTAAGTGGTACCTTCCACTGTCGGACATCCTACTTCCACTTACTCATGACCCTGGTTAGTTTTTTAGATTGTGATAATATCCCAGATTTTTACGAAGCATTTACTTTTTCAGCTCTAAAATTGTTAGGTTATTCATTATACATCCGTTGTGTTATAGTTCTTCACATCATCACAGGGAAACTCATGGATACCATACAACTAAAGCAGTTGAAAGTAAAGATAAGAGAACTTCAGAGGCTATTAAAAGAAGAAGACACAAATGTCATTCAGGATGTTAATAAAGGCGTAAGTTGAAAGTTCATCATTTTTATTTAACTGAAAAATCAATTTCTTCCCGATCCATGACTCAAGTACCGAAGGCACAAAAGAGTCAAGGACAAGGTTAGCGAACGAGGTTTTTATGGTATATGGTAGCTTGCGACCGTCGTACGAACGAGTTGTCGCTCACGTTTCTATCTCCGCAAAGTTATTTTGCGCGACATTCTGAATTAAATTATTGTTGGTACGCAGCGCTGAACTGATATGATCAAGTAAGTCGTTAATTTTCACCATGTACATATCCCACTAGGCACTAATTTATGGAATTGAAGTAGAAGATATAATTTAGTGGCGGTCGGCGGATATGTAAATTATTTGTTCTGTATTTCGAGTTAGTATTACTATTATGCACAGATTTCAATAAGCATAGGGTCGCATAGAAATATAAACAAGGAATTAGCTGAGCTCGGCCAGTCACACCGCCATATCTGCAATTTGCATGCTTATGGTACGGCACAAGCACGTGGTAGTCGAGTGACGTAGTCACGAGACATGCCCCCGTGACACAGCACTCTGTTGCAATGGCCATTCACAAGCGTCTCAGAGTAAAACCGGTTTTTTGAATATTTATATGAGATTAAATTCACAATTCACATCCTTATAGTTCTAGAGAACAGCACGGGTCAAGCATGAAGTATCATTTTAAACGTTTTAAATTAGGGTAGATCGGAAAGGAACTACTTTCATAAATTTGAACAGGAAATTATCACCAACAATAATTTGAAAATATACTCAAGTTTTATTTATCAAAACTACCTGGTAAAGCGGATTTAAATAAAGCGCTTGTTTCACTCCTAATAATTAAGGCGACTAATCATTCCTTAAGAACAAGCACCATCAACCAACACACGGTTTGATGCAGGTGTAACGGAAACTGACATAATTAAGAGGACCAGACACAGGAGCGTAGTCACGAGACGTAATGGATGAGACATCAAAATAAATGAAAATTCCTGGCACAAAAAGATCAAATAGGACCGGGTCCTTGCACGTTAATCCTCTCAATCTCACCTCAAAACTCAATTAAAAGATCTGCCAAAAAATGCGTTACTCAATAAGTTGTTTGGAGTATACAAACAACTTATTGAGTAACTAAAAACCGGTTTTACACGTGCCCACAAGTAAGCATCCAATGAAATAGAGGAAATATTTCAAGTTATGGAACAGCTGTCGGAACTCGTGCCTTTGGCACTCGTTGCTCCAGCAGTTCCATAACCTACCTTATGAACACTAAAGCCTGGGGTCGCCAGGTTATATGGAATGTGATAAAATACGCCATCACTGATCGGGAAATTGAGCGGCCATCCACAAAAGAAAAGCGGCCGCATTTCTTGTTATCAGGGCAATCTACAGTAACTTTTGTTCGAGGGTCATGCTGAAAGCCTTTTGGTTAGCCATCTCCTTTATTGATAACAAGAAAGGTAATACAAATATTTTATTATTATTCAGCCTGTTTCGAAACGGATGAGAGGTTTTAAGAAACAGCGGAGCAGACAACTGAAAGACTCGCTTAATGACAAGATTGAAGAATACCACGTGTTACATATGAACCTCCCCTTCAAAATTATTTCCAAGCGAGGAAAGGTTAGTAACAATTTTATAAAGAATGTAACTATGCACTAGGTCATTAGAGAACAGTCTGTGCAATAAAATTCTTTGGTTTTGTCATCGACTTCCAGTTCATCGCTGTTAAATGCAAAATAAAATAAATATCCTAAATCAATCTCGTGTCACAGATGTACACAATGCACATGCACGGCGAGAAAGAACGAGACGAATGGATGAGGCAGATCCAAACGCAACTCAACAAAGGTTCCGATAACTATAGAGTTAACAACTGCACGTTTTTGAACTTGTCTGCTGTTTCACTTCTCCGTCTTCTCCTCTTTGTCCTACTTCCCCTTGTTACTTCCCTGCTAGATCATCACTTTACTGTTAACTCTTTTCTGATATAATAACTTACCTTTTCCCAGTTCCGGCCTGCACAGCAAACATCAGTCTTTCTAACGCGGAGGTGGAAAGTCTGTTGGAGAGATATACCAAGGTAAGTGTTCCGAGTCCGGTTCTCTCCTGTTGATATAGTTACACGGTTACCAGGTTACAAACCTTGCTGTTACCAAGACTCTTTATCATAGTTACCCTGTCTGGTTATCGTGTCACGTGTCTGGTTATCCTGTCACGTGTTTTGTCGACTTCTTTAGAGTTTATATTTTGTCGTAGCCTAGTGTTACGATATTATATGTTTTAGAGTGTGTGGGTTCATCTTTTGTAACTTTTCCTTATTTTGTGATTTTCATTTAGTGTCCCTTAAGTTTTGGATCTGGGCCCATTTAGTGCACTGGTGCCACGTTTAGTATTTTAACATTTTATTATTAGGCAGCTCGTTAACAGTTGTAAACCATTTAAATTTGGTAAAATATCTTTTGTCTGGCTGGCTCGTGTCCAAATGTGAACCGACCAGTTATGAAGTACGTTGCTCCAATCGCTTACTGAGTTAGTGAAACTTGCACACTGACGGGGCGTGTCTCCGTAAATTCTCAGAATCACGTACTTTTTTAATCAGATTAAACTCGCGGAGCCTGTCAGAAAATAATGAACCCTTCCTAATATAAGAGTGCATTTTATCTCCAGTGTGTATCTCGCTAAATTACTAATTAATAACCAAATTAACGTTGACTGTGTAGAATTGAGCAATAAAAATCGTACATGACCTCCGGTAACTGTGAAGGTTTCGCTAATTGATGTTGTAAAGTTGGGAGTTGTCACAGTCACACTTTCCCACTTTGATTTTACAGTACTGTGCTCCTGCTAATTGCAGTCAGTAATCGATCTTTCTCTCATCTATTGTTTCCAGAGAGCAACTTGTCTTTCGATCTTGGCATTGTTCGATCCGCCTACAGATGAAAACTTCAAAACCAGACACCGAAATTACTGCTTATGTCTTAATGTCTCGCTATATCGGGGATCAACATTTCTTTATGACTTATGAGTAAAATGAATATTTTACTTTGATCCCTAGCTGACTAAAAACACTACTTTTCATTAGGCAACAATTTCTCTAAAAGACCTAATGATCCAATTAGAGTTGACGTATTTTCACGTCACAAACTCTTTCTGACAAAATTATAGTTTATTAGCATATTATCGAATATTTTACGTCAGTCACATTTTAAATGTCAAGATTAGCCTAAAAAGTGTTTATAGGTTCGCTAATTAGTACTTTTGTAATGCTCTTAAAATAGCCTCTTTCCGGGAAACCGTATAATTTTTGAGGTGGTGTCGGTGGATAACGACACCCGTGTTACCTTCATGAGTCAATTAACTCCAACTACAATCATTGCATGCACCACAATTCGTCCTTTCTTGCGCTTTTCTTAGAACATTCGTCAGGGAGTATCTCTCTCTCGCTCTCTCTCTAGCTGCGTTGCTGTGTGACTATCGTTTTGTGTCAATTAACATTAATCAACTGCAACAATGTGTGGCTGCAATGCATAGTTTTGAGTCAGTTTGCCTTTGATACGCAATGTGTAGAGTGGCTGTCGTCAATGCCGCACTATATCAGTTTTGTTCTTGCTCACATTTTGTTCTAGAACAGTGTTCTTTCCTTCTGTTATCCAGTTACAAGTTATTGAGCTGTTATAGAAAGCTTGCTTTGAGTAGATTAAATTAGAGTATTATATTATGATTTAATAGACAAGCTGTTTGTTACATTGCTTAAGTTATGAAGTTAGTGCTGTGTACAGTTGTGAAATGTGAACACTTATCTTATAGTAATGATAGTGAATACTGATTTAGTTCACGTTTTTATGTGTTTAAAAATTGTAGTGTCTCCCGTTGGATCCTGATATTTCATTTAGACATCGTAATGGGGAACACATAAAAAATTTACATGCTGACAAAAAGCCTATTAAAAAGTAGACTCAACTGAAACTAAAGTATACCATATTCATTGTTGTGTAGGCATGAGCAAGGCTCGTCGAAATGGCCGTAGCGCGAGTGTTCCCGCCATCTCATTCTCTGAAATAGACCGGAAGACCCTGATAGCCTACCACCAGTCGATAAAGAAAAGAAAGAAACAAGTTGGTTTTGTGGCGTGCATATTAAGTGCAAATGAAAGTGTGGCACACGCGTGCACGTTCTGTGGTGCACTTTGTGGCGTACTGTGGTGCACACGTGATAGTGATCATGTGTCTTGAACTTGTACTGCATGATCTAACTAAAAAACACTGCGTGGTTTCACTTCCAGCCCGTTTGGACCCGTGTTATCAAATCTCACACTAGCAGATGTTATCACTTTTTACCAAACCCTGACCTGTCCGGTTGAAGCCATACCCCCAGTTTTTGTGACTTGTAATGCATCAATCCTGCAGTTGCGTTATTATTACAGAAGAACACTCAAATGTTTAAGATTGCCGTTATTATAATAGGTACAACTGCCGTTACTTTGCTGCTCTACGCGTTTGAAATATGTAGTGTTAGGGAGATGTGAATATTTCTGTGTTTTGACTTCTTTGCATGTTGAGTGTGTTCTTGTTTCATGCTTGTTTTTTGTTGTCTATGTTTTTGGTCTTGTTTGAAATAAAAATGAAGGAAAAAAGTATGTTTTACTTACTATCATCTTTGAGTTTGTAGCTCAAAGATTCTAAATGTTCGAGCGAGTGACTGAGGACAGTGCAAAAGCTGCTAGTGCTCCTCGCAATATTTCCCCAAAAAAGAGATGGCAATTCGCTGTTTTTCAGCTCCGTAAAAACTCGGCGATAGCAAAGCTTGACGTTGATAATGACGACGAAACTCTGTACGATGGTAAGATGAATGTTTTAGACTGTACATTGTACAAGATGGTTTCGTACTGGAAGTGGACTCTGCGATCGTTTTTCCTCATTATCGGAGTTTTTTTAATACATTTTTTAAATCTACAACATTTTTCCTATTTTGCATCAAGAATACCACTTGCCACCCAGTTAATTCCATCTAAACAGTCACGTGACTTACTCACGTCTCATTCTACCAGGAGTGCTTCTAGTACAAGTTATTTGTGGCACTGAGTGTGGGGAGGTTGGTACTAAACCCGACATCTACTGCACCCTCGAAGCTGATTGTAATGGGGAGATGTGCAAGAAGAACAAGACTAAACTCATGAAAGGGAGCATCAACCCAATATGGGACGAGGTTAGTTGTTGCTTTTATTAGGTTTATCATCTTTGTGACATTCACTTGATCAGTACTCTGTGAATTGTGATCGTAGTGAACAAATCTGAAGATTTCTTGTTGCAATCTTACTCTATTATAGTCTTAATCTCACCCCCAGACGATATGTGTACCTGCCGAGGCTTGCCAGTTCCTGCGATTCGAGCCTTCGGGAAGAAGAAATTCTCAGCTCCACTCGAGATCGGAAGTAAACTTCTCACTCTGGCAGAATACAGCCTGGAGGACAACAGTCCTAAACCTTTAGCAGTGAACCTACAGCCAAAGGTAAACTTATGGATTTGATGTACTTACTAAATTTCGAAGTTCAGAAAAATAAAACTCACAATTTCAATGGATTCTTCATCGTAACGTTTATATTAAGACAAACTAATATTTGATCATGTCGTTATTGATACATAATTTCTAATAATACAGGGTCAGATCAAGTTGACAATCCAGTTGTTGTCACTAGAGCAAGCCAGATTACGCAAGGAATCCCAGCATCAAACATTCGGGGTGCCTCTTGAAGAGCTTGCTCTCATTGAGGGACAGAAAATACCTCCTATTATCCACTCCTGCTTCAGGTTTGCTTTTATCTTATCTAAAATATTTCAGCTCTTCCAAAGAGCTTGAGTTCAATATTTTACGTTTCTGAATGTTGGAGAAGTTCTCATTACATTCGGTCCATTCAGTGAATCAGTGTCCATCTAATGATTCAAGAATAGAGATAGTGCTCTAACGTGCTCGCACGTGTTTATATATGGTCTGATCACATGAATTTCACCTCGCTTTGGTCACTTTAATTTTATCGTCAAACGCGTAGGTTTATAGCAAACAAGCGTATAGGTCTAAGCTAGACCGACGTTTTTTATGATAGACTTACGTAGTAGTAGTAGTACGTGCTTTGTTGTAAAAATAGTTAATGTCGAACAGTAAATTATTACAGAACCTCAGGTGTGTACATTCTCCGCAGGGAGACTGACCACAATTATATCGCAATTTTTATCATTCATTGTTGATTTTCACGGTAGATTGTAGATGTTCATCTAACCGTCGGTTTTGTGCTCCACAGGCAGATAGAAAGACGAGGAGTGATGGAGGAAGGGATCTACCGGGTCAATGGCATCGTGGGAGAAATACGCAGACTCAAATCTGCTTTTGACGAGTGTAAGCTCTTTAATGGGTTGTAAAGTTGATGACAGATGTCAGATTAAAGTGCCTGGCAATATTCTTCTTCCGAGGAACTGCCAAATTCCGCTGATTCAACTCTCGATAGCGTGCTCTACTTTAATTGTTCATTCCTTTGTCAACATTCTAAACTGCTCTAAGCAACACTAAGCAACATTTTCAATTAAGACTCAAACATTCAGTAAATATGGAGATTTTAACAACCAGACGTAGTGAATATAGAATGTGCAAATACCTATACAGCCAAGTGAACCTCGCTATTTTCAGCTGCTAGAAATGGAGAGATCCTGGCTACAGAAGCGGAAGTGAACGTGGTGGCTGGAGTTGTGAAGCAGTTCTTTAGAGAACTACCTAAACCTCTATTTCCGGTGGAGATGTACAACGACTTTGTGGAGTTGTTAGACAGCCAAGGTGACTAGTGAACTGATTGACTTATTATTTAAATCGGCTTAAATGTTTGTCAGAGGAAATGATCTCAGGCTTCACTTTTATGCTTTTTTTAAACATTCATCTTACGGATTTTAATTGTACGTGGTTTTATCTTAACGATTTGCTGCAGATGAGGCTGACAAAGAGAAGATGATGATTGCTTTTGGAGACATTCCTGAGCCAAACATCAGTGTCATAGTTAGACTGATCCAACACATCAAATAGTGAGTAACTCTTTTTATTCTCAACTGTGAACTCTTAGGAGTCTGTAGCAGAAACTGCGGAAAAACAAATCTAGGAGAATCAAACATTCGGGCAGTTTTTTTGCTGTTATGAAACCGCTAAGAATTAAATCATCTCGTTACTTCAACAGTTTCGCATGAAAGCACTAAGAATAATCTCCTTACTTCAACAGTATCGCGGAGTACCAGCCCCGAAATAAGATGGACGTTAACAACTTGTGTTTGCTGTTTGGTCCGAACGTGGTGAAGCCACCACCCTGCGTAACCACCGGACAGCAAACCTGCGAGAGTGTGACAACAACTAGCATGCAGCAGGTTACTTTCCTTAAGCAACAGGTTACTTCTTCTGGGACTTATAGATCATTCACATGTTACGTCAGCAATTTATTAGGGCGTGGTGGGGGTTGTTTCTAGGTTTACCAATATTCTCACGGTAATGTTATTTTTTACAATAGCAGTGTGTGCAATTGTTGACGTACGGCCGGGGGAGGGGTGGGGTTTGAAACTTTCAAAATCTTGCTGACGTAATATTTGAACGGTTATCTCTTCTCTTATTTTATCTTATCTTTTTTTGTAGCACAACCGAATACGCTAAGATGGACACTGAATTATCTGTATTTTACCCCATTAAAGAGAATGCAACATTCTATTCTACCACTTTGAGTAGACCACATATTTGACCCATATTATGTAGAAATTTACCATTTTTTTGGCTCGTAATTGCTCAAACCCGAATTCCGTCAACAGGTGAACATTCTAAAGTTTTTCTGTGAGAAGCCAATGTCGAGATTACACGAACTACATGGCGACGAGGAGAGCTTGAGACCGGGTTCTGCTCCGCCAATGTTATCACCAACTTCTGAGGTGAGAGGCTCTTACTGATCAATATAATGAGAATCTGCTGTGTAATCACGAACATACGATTGTAGCCAATTTAATAACACTTAAATGCTGATATTAATATTTCTAATTTGCAATTGTCTTAGGACTGAAATGTTTTAGAACAACTCATGAATGAGCAGTTATTATGACTTTCTTAATTTATGAACGTAATGTTTTAGAACAACTCATGAATGAGCAGTTAATATTACAGTTTACTGTCGATTAAATTTTAACTACCGTCTGGAGCGCGGTTCCATCCAATTTATTCCACCCTAACAACCAACGGGTCCAAATCTCCCAATTTAATAAATCTAATTTTGAACAGGAACTATTTGCCTTTTGCCAACTATTCTGCTTAATTAGAGCTAACTAAACCTCCATTAAACTTCAGAGGAATATCAAGCCCATTGTCCGCCACGTGTCTGTTGCGAGTCTCAGCACCAGTGAGATGATCGCTGAAGAAGACTTCAATTTCGACCTGGAATATTCGCCGTTGAGGGAGGACAAACGGGACCTTTTGCAAGATTTGGGGATTTCACTTCAAGATATATCTAACGGGAACTGTATCAGTCCCTCCAGCGAACTGTCAGAATATCCAGACTGTTCCAGACAATCCTCATTTGTAGGAGATGACAGTTCAATAGACAGATCCACCACCTCGGAAACGGGGCGAAGTGCTGATCTTCCCCTCAAGAAACTGTCCCTCGAGGACTATGTGAAAAAGACTCCTTTGAGCTCGACAAGATCGGGAGATTCGGTCTTGTCGTCCGTTCCATCGATCAGTTTTCACAGTGCCCCACAGCTGAAGCATTGTGGTGACTCTCGTCCGAGTTAGCATATCAACCTACATGAATCAACATTCATCTCCACTTAAACATGTCTTAGCCAAATCAAGCAAAGACGACCAAGTGATAAATATATCAGTGAGTTCTTGTGTTGTAGCCTCGATGAGAAGAATTATAATGTCGTACTGGTGAACAGCGTTTTGTGCTCGGTAGATGAAAAAACTGGAGTTTCATAAACTAAAGAGAGAGATATCACTGGCAGACAGATACTTGAAAATACAGCTCCTAATAATATGCTTCCAACATTGATGATTTTGTATTGATTACGGTTTGTGTCAGTCGGATTCAAGCACTGTGTTTATGATTATTGTATTTTTCGAGTGTGGTTCACATTTTGAAGGTGATTGTTCGCTTATCAGTCACAAGTACCAGTATCACAATCATAGAGATATAATCTTTTAAGAGATACATTAAAGCAAGGAAAGACACTGAAAGATTTCGAGCTGCATGGTGGCTGGTGAACAAAACGGAAAAATTATCTGACAATAACAATAATTCGGGTGATGATTAATTATGATGTTTCTAATCATGTGTTCCTTTTGGTTTTTAAATTCCTCAAAAGCACGAAGATATTATCGTTGATGTTTTTAGTTATTAAACGTGATTCTTACAGCATTGTTTATGTTACAGTGATAATACGGTTTACATTAATTTAATTGTAATTGATTCACAGATATATTTCTTCCGATCATTTGTTTGATTGTATAAGTTAAATACGCATTCTGATGACATGAAAGCGTGTAAAATATTTTATTTGATGATTTTATCATGATGAACAGCTGTCATTTTCGACAAACCTAGTAACTTGTTTCAATTTGTAATTTGTAATTTGTAATTCAATTTGGAACGACAGCTTAAAAGATAGAAGCAGTGGTGCATTCGACCACACCACAGATTCAGGGGATCATGATTGGACCGGAAATGCCTGATATCAATTTATTTTACGGTTTGCCGGATTTTTCCGGACGTGAACCGTGTATGTACAAGAGGAAAATTCAGGCTGCCGGAAATTATAAATTAACTCCATTTTAACCTCTATCATTTAAAAATGTGGTTCTGAAAGCCGATTATTTATTTAATTTGTCAATAAAGCAATAACATAGACCCGCACCAGCCACTAAATTGTTCGGCTGCCCTGTAACTCCATTGTAACTAAGCACTGGAGATTTTGCGGGAAATCAAGATGCTGTCATGGCGCCCCGGTAAATCGTACTCCGTTTTATAGATCTAGATGATAGAGTACGCTACATTGACCACATAACAGATTTGATATAATCACATACGACTAGGACTGATAACTAGGGTCTAAGGATTTGACTGCTAGACCGGAAACGATCGGATATCAATTTATTTTCTTGTTTGCCAGACCGAAACCGAGTGACAAACAGGAGAACAAAAATTTTACTGAAAAAGTTTTAAATTTCCGACCACTCACGCTCATGGTTGCTAGATATCAGACAATTTTAAAGATTTGAAATTTCTGAATTCGAGCACCTGACATTGTTAAGCTTTTTGCCGACAGCTTCCTTCGACCGAAATCAAACTTTCAGCATGCCTCAATCGTGTCATAATTCATATGCCATCTATAGTTGACTGAATAATTGGTTGCATGTGAGACGTTCAGTCAAAACTGTAAAATTTCAGCCCTGGAAATTTCAACTTCAAAAAGTTTCAAAAAGAAATCAATATGATTTCTCGATTTTCTTCGGGACTTTGAGTTCCAGTACCTCAATTTGGTTTCATACCATTATCAATTAACTGATTAATTGGTCTCTGGACAAAAAGTCCAGCCAATCTGTAAAATTTGTGTTCAGAAAGTTTCATATTTGAAAATGGGACAGAAATTGAAAATAATGAATTTTCGTTTTGCTAAGCTTTCTGCTGTGAGCTTCGTCCGGCCGAAATCAAACTTCCAGCACCTCAATCGTGTCATATGCCATCTATAGTTGACTGACTAATTGGTTGCGGGTAAGAAATTTAGTCAAAACTTAAAATTTCGGTCATGGAAATTTCATCTTCAAAAACTGAAAATCAAAATGGGACAGAGAATGGGACAATATGATTTTTCAATTTTCTTCGGGATTTTGAGTTCCAGTACCTCAATTTCGTTTCATACCATCATCAATTAAATGACTAATAGGTCTCTGGGCAAAAAGTCCAGCCAATCTATCAAATTTGCGTTCAGAAAGTTTCATATTTGAAAATGAGACAGAAATTGGAAAATATGAATTTTCGTTTGGTTAAACTTAAGCTTTCTGCTGTGAGCTTCGTCCGACCGAAATCAAACTTCCTGCACCTCAATCGTGTCATTCAGTTAAAACTGTAAAATTTCGGTCCTGGAAATTTCATCTTCAAAAACTGAAAACTGGCAGACAAAGGGATTTTTGTTTTCAATATTTTTTTCAACATTTTTTAAATGTGCAACCTACCAAAACCAATGGTGCCCTCCTCGGGGTCTTTCCTCTCGCATTTGCGAAAGTCGTCCCAAAGGTGTAAAAGGAGGTCAGGATTTGTTCACACCAAGCTCTAACATCGTATTTGTTGACCATCGGCCTTCACTAAAGGTAAGTTTTTAGATAGTGGAGGCCGCCCGTCAGCTTGGGATGCATGGGACCAAGTGGGAAACAACGTCAAGGCCCCTTCCTACATGGGCCATGTTGGTTTTGGCAGATACTGTAGTAATAAAATATGAAGTGAATTGAGTGAAATGAAGTGAGTGAAAAGGGTGTAATAAAGGAGGAGGTTATAAGGTAATTTAGGAAAGGAAGGAAGCAGGGCATGTACTACAAAAACAGCTAGTAGTACTACAAGATAGTAACAATAACCATTAATAATTAAATATCATAGACAGCAATATAAATGGAGTGGACATTTAGCCCCATAATCGGCCAAGATCGACACAGTAGAACTTTTGTGACCTATTTTGTCTCCTGTTAGTGAAAAGCTTAAGTAATTTAATATACCCCTGCCAGATCAGCATTTCCCCTGTCTGAAATCTTTTGCTCATGTACCATTTGGCAACAATATTAAAATAGTTTATGATTTGTGAAGTGTGATTACATGAAATTAATTTTAGTGGGATCTTTGTAGTTCCTATCGTCTTTCCTTTTGATAAAGTCTTCAAGTATTTTAATGAAGCTATTTGTGTGAATACAATGGAGATAAATATGAGGAATAGTTTCTAAGTAAGTGTTACAAAGGCTACACATGGGAGTATCCGTAACAATTTTCATCTTATGTCTCATGTATCTACAGGTTGTGATCATCATCAAAAGTTTGTATTGAAATTGATTGAATCAACTTAAAATTTTTAGAGACTTAGAAAAAAAGGTTGCTAAGAATGACTGCTCAATCTATCAGTACCTCAATTTGGTTTTATACCATCATAATTAACTGACTAATTGGTCTCTGGGCAAAAAGACCAGCCAATCTGTCAAATTTGTGGTCAGAAAGTTTCCTATTTGAAAATGGGACAGAAATTGGAAATTATGAATTTTCGTTTTGTTAACCTTTCTGGTGTGAGCTTCGTCCGACCGAAATCAAACTTCCAGCACTTCAATCGTGTCATATGCCATCTATTATAGTTGACTGATTAATTGGTTGCGGGTGAGAAATTCAGTCAAAACTGTAAAATTTCGGTCCTGGAAATTTCATCTTCAAAAACTGAAAATGGGACAGAGAATAGGACAATATGACTTTTCAATTTTCTTCGGGATTTTGAGTTCCAGTACCTCAATTTGGTTTCATACCATCATCAATTAACTAACTAATTGGTCTCTGGGCAAAACGATCAGCCAATCTGACAAATTTGTGTTCAGAAATTTTCATATTTTAAAATGGGACAGAATAGTCGAAAGTAAATTTACATATTTAGATATCTAAGTTAGGTTGCAGTATCATCTGAGCTACTGGTCATAGCCCATCAACTCGTAAGATTTTATTAAATTACTGTTAAATAGTAACCAACTCTTCCCTTTAGGCCTTATCTTATTATTTTACCCCCTTTTGTCGATTCTGATGAAAACTTATACCCTGGTTGTATGAAGAGTTGAGTAATCCTTTTGTGATGATGCTATGGTTATTTAGCATGTTCGCTTCTATACCTGGATTTATACACTCGGGTTCATTAAATTTGAAAGTGAATTCCGTTCCTGAAGTGCAGGTAACCTCGCTGCTCCCTTTTTTGATAGCTTTAGATTCAAAACAAGACACTTCCACCACACTTCCAGGGATTAATGGGAACTGTGTTGTTGTTATGATCGTAGTTCTCCACTCATCTTTCAGTCCAGTGCAGCTCACTGTAGATATATCAATTTAAATCACGTTGATCTGATTAATTTGATTGTGTGATACAATAATAACTGTTATTTTGACGGTTTCCGCTGTTCTATCCCACGATTTTGTTTTCATGTCCCAACCCTAACCTTTTCAAGCAACCTTCAACATAACTAAATCGTAGCTTGCTTGAGGGTCCACTCTAATAGTGTGTACAGTTTACCACAGTTAATTAAATTTAAAACATAACAATAATATAAGCTTCAAAGTTATCTTACCACAGGCAGTTTGGTCAGTGTTTGGTGTCCCTCCTGCGTCACATGTCTCACAGCTTGTCATAGTATCATCCCGATATGTTCCATCTTCACATGGTTCTAAAATTAAATAAATATAAGTTGCACTGGGTTCTGGAAGATGTGGAAATCGTCATATAAGTACACTTGTATAAGAGATGTGACAAATTAAATATCTGGACGCATTCCACAGATTTTTGATTGAATTACTACCACCCAGATTTTTACGGTTCTTGCCTTCTCGTACCACGAATTTGCCTTCTTGATTCTCAGCCCTATCCTTATCCCGTCTTAACCCTTACCCTATCTTTATCCATTTATAAAGATAGAATCACCTCAGCTCGGTTCTCGATAACAATTCTTACCACAAGCGGTCCTCCCTAGGTTTCGTTCCTTGCCAAGTTCACAAGTTGTACACAAGGATGCTCCTTCTGAGCTGACCATGTTATCAAGACATTCTTCACACGTGTCCATATCAAGGTAGCTCCCAGCTGGACACTTAGCTGAAAAATAAGGAAGTAGCAAGAAAAGAATGAGCTAAAAACGTTTGAATTGTCATGTCCTGTTATTTTTGTTTTGATTAATCAATCAGATCCATCATTTGGTCGTTTTAGTGTTGAGTTCGAGATTAAAGTACTGAATACTCACCTATTTCTACACAAGTAGGAGTTGTGGCACTGGAGAAGGTGGTGCCCTCAGTACAGGTGATAGTGATGCTGCCTCTCTGTAGGAACCCTTCTTCACATGACACTGTCAGCACTGTTCCTGCTTCTACCGGGAATGTTGCTTTTGTTTTGAGCTGGTTCCAGGCTGGATCGAGACCTGTACACTGTATTGTTCCTGTGGAATGCGTTGCTTTAACGAAATTTCTGAATTTTATTTGGGATTAATCACTTAATTCGCCTTAAAATTGATATATTATATATTTGTTAACAAGATTTGTGAATCTTGTCACTGTAGCTTCCAGCTGGACACTTAGCTGAAAAATAAGGAAGTAAGTAGTAAGAAAAGAATGAGCTAAAAACGTTTGAATTGTCCTGCCCTGTTATTTTTGTTTTGATTAATCAATCAGATCCATCATTTGGTGGTTTTAGTGTTGAGTTCGAGATTAAAGTACTGAATACTCACCTATTTCTACACAAGTAGGAGTTGTGGCACTGGAGAAGGTGGTGCCCTCAGTACAGGTGATAGTGATGCTGCCTCTCTGTAGGAACCCTTCTTCACATGACACTG